GTCTAACCAATCATTTTGAAACAAAAGGTCAGAAAGAAAGAAAAAATGAAAGACATCATACGATGCTCAGATGGAGAACTAGCAAGAGTATGTTCAACTCAGGTCCCAAGATACACTTACCTAAGAACCAGTGACTGTAGTCATTGGAGTTCATAATCCTTTACATACAAGTGCCTCTGGAAGCTCCACAGACTCAGCCACTGTCCTCAACCCCAAAATGAACCATGAAAGCAGTTTTCCTGTGGTGGAAGTACAGGCAATCCTGCCTCTCTATAAATGCTTCTCAGGGCTGGGTAGTGCTTCGAGACTGCCAGAATTGGCCCCTCCAGCTGTTTGACTGACACACAGTTGTGTTCACACATGTGCATTCATTCATTCTGATGCCCCGACTCACTGAGAAAGCCCCTTCCTCTTGCTAAACAAGCCAGCAGACAATCCCAAATCCTGTTCTTACCTGGCAAGACCTGGGTCAGAGGTGGGAGAGGGGCACACACGCACCTTCCCTATCCTCCTGAACCAGCTAGCTCTCCAGGACTGCTCAGGAGGACTAACATCCCAGCAAGAAAAGACACCCCCCTCATGCAACATACCACTGGGGATATGAATCACTTGACAGAATCCATGCCTTACATGCATGAGATCCAGGGTTCAATCCCCAGTACCACTTGGGCTGCCTCCCACCCAGTTGTTCTCATAAAGAAGGCTAGAGGTATCTGCTCACAGAAGGAGAAAGTCACTGCCTAGCAGTGGTTGTGCCCAGTCAGCCTGCAGCGTCCTAGGACACTAGACCCTTCCAGACATCTTTCTGGCTAGCATCAGGTCCAGCCTTGTGATTTGGACCCTCCCTGCTGTGTCCTCTTCCTGCCAGCAGCAGGCCAGGTGTCCTGAACTTTGGTAGCCAAGAACAAGCTTCAAAAGGCTAAGTGGAAGGTGACCATCTTCAAAGCGTCCTCAGACTTCCCAGAAATCTCTGGCACCCTGCCCTGACCTCAGGTCAGTTGCCGGCAAATGAACTTGTGACAGCTCCGTGAGGGCAGGGACTCTGATTGTGCCTGTCTGGTTCCCTGCTGTCATCCTGGCAACCCCAAGCATGAGACTGGCATACAGTTGGTGCTCAACACTGCTCTGCTGGACTGATGTGCAAAGGCTTCTACCAGGAAAGGATAGAAAGCACAGCCCAGGCTTTCAAGCTAGACCTGAAACCTAGACACCAAATTTATGGCTTCCCTGCCTCTCCCTGGCCAGCCCCCTCAGCATAGCCCCTCAGAGAGCTCTTAGGGATGTTAGTTGGGAATAACATACAAAGCCTTTATTATAACCCAGGGCAGAAACCTCTGCCATGTTTCCTGTTCACAAACACTTATTTAGCACCTGTATGCAAGATGTTTTTCAATCACAGTGTGCAATACCAGATCACGATCACTTCAGTTAATTTTTCTAACAGTCCTCTGAAGCTGTATCTATTTAGCACTCTCCTTTGCAGCTTCAGTCTTTGAGAAAGAAGGCAACCTGCCTGAAGCCTGAGACCTCAAAGTGCAGGGCCACGGTTCGTATTAATTACACAGCCTAAACTGCTAAAGCACTGCACCTGTCTGCCTCTAGGGCTGACAATCACTGCAACTGGTTTCTGTCTCAACCCTTGTAGGATTCCAAGGACATCTGACCATACTGCCAGACTGGTGTCTTCAGTTACAGAGGAAAGAGACACGGGTACTCGCTCCCATGGAGCAGCGCCTTGTTTTGTCGTTTTCACTATGGTGTGTACTCCCCTGATATCCAATTTCAGACAAGCAAGTTCACTAAAAACTTCCCTCCCATCCCATCCGCCCCCACTACCTTCCAGAAAAAGAAACACACAGCTATGCAAAAATAAGATAAGAAATGAAGGGCAGCGCTAAAGAGATAAAAGTCCCGTAAACCTTTAGAGCAAATTCAGAGGCAGTAGCTGAGAATAAGCACCATACATCAGGGAGCATGGAAGATGGACGGCCAGGCACACAATCTCAGCTGCCGCGAAGTCCAAGCTAACAGAAGAGTAAGCCATCTCCTCCAAAGGACAAAAGCTTGTCATAAAGAACTTTCCATTTACTCTCCTGCCAACCATGATGGAAATCTCATTACCAAAATCAATCAATGCCCTTGCTTCTTCCAATGTTTCAGGATGAGTGACATCACAAAGAACTCCACAAATGCTCAGAAATAGAGGGATAACATCCTCAAGGAAAACCCATCCGTGTTTCACTTGGACATGGCTTTGACTGACACCTGGAACCCCATACACTTCCAGAGCATTCATTTTCAAAGCTCTTAGGGACTGCCATCTCCTGGGCCACCTAAGTTCTGATTCATGTAAGTGATGGCAAAAGCTTGATCACAAAAGCTGGCTCTGGTCTTATACTAGCTCACAGGACTCTGTCTCTGGGGTGGCTGAGGTATCACTGTGGAAAGTCAAGTTTCTCTACCCTCTAAGCCCCTGGCAAGGAAGAAGCAGCTCCCTTGAAGTAGGGGTCCAGTCTCTGCTCCCCCTAGTCCAGGAGCTACCACATTTCCCTCCAAGATAGCAGGAGGTATTCTATCACATAGCACAAAGGTGAGGGAGAGCCGAGGGCATTGTTTCCTCCCTGGAGAGACTGGGAATTACAAGTTCAGTGCACAAAGGCCACCTCTCTGCCCTGTGAGAACCACATCCAGTCCTAGTCTCTTCCTCCCTGGTGAGTTGTGATTCCTAAGGCTGCTCCCTCAAAATGGTTGCCTCATTTTAAATCTGGCAGGCTACCAACACAGACAATAGTCGGATAGTGTTGACTTAAGGAAAAAGAAACCCATCTGGAAAACAGGAACGACTGTGGAGTACCCTAGTGATGCAGACGTGTCCCACAGCCAACACCAAGCTTACCAATATCCAATCACCCTGGTAAGTTCCAATCCCTAAAATCACAATGTCCAACGTGGCAAATCCCCAAGGACCTGCGGTCATCATTTATCTGGCCATGAGTTTCAGGAGCCCAAAACTACACATCAAGGGCAAAGATGATCGGGTTAATTGTTGATGGAATAACTCAAATCTGAAGCTTCTGGCGGTTCAGTTCCCAGCAAGAGATCTTAAAATTCATTTTCACATAACAAGTTTACAATTGAGTTATAGACAAAGTGGTTAACTATTCACAAAGGAAAAATCCCAATGGAGAAAAATAAGCCACTTTTCTGAGGCATGGTCTCACCAGATAGCCCAGGCTGGCCCTAAATCCCCACTTATCCTCCTGCCTTAGCCTCCTTAGTGCTGGGATTACAGGTGTACAGTACCATTACGCTTACGCCATTAACTTCAATTAAGACAATTTCTGAGCAAACAAGTGGAAAGTGCACACACAATGTCCCAAAGCTACACTTCACCACACGTAACAGAGTCATCTTCAAACGAAAGTCAATGAAAGGGAAGCAAGGGACTCAGGACACCGAAGGCCCTGAAACTGTCCACCCACAGCAGCTGAGCAGTTCTGGCCCGACTTCACTACCCTAGATACAAAAAGGATTCTTTGGCTACAGCAGAACTCACAAGAGCCTAAAACAAATGCCACAAGTTTGGGTTCTCACTCCCGGGTGCATGACAGGCTGAGAGGCTCAGTGCCACAGAAAGCAAAAGTGTCTTTGTTTCCATTACATCATCCGTGGTGAAGGGGGAGGGCAGGCGGGGCACAGCTGGTGGCAGCTGTGCCACCATCTGCTTTCTCCTCAGCAGCCTCTGCTGGTCTGAGCACAGCTTCCTTGGGCTCCCAACAGAGAAGTGCAGGGTTAAAGGTACAACATCCTATTACAGAAATAGTCAGAATTACTGAGAAATAAATCATTCCTCTGTTGAGTTAACAGCCTCGGGTAGTTGATGAGCTGCTGTTCTTGGACTTTATGCTGTTTGCATCTCTTTGGACTTGGTGACAACACAAACTCTGTCAACTCCATTAGACAAGCACTATGTACAAGCAACCACCTGCCATCTGCTTCCCTAAAGGTAGGCAGTCATAAAGTGCAGGTCTTCCAGTGCTGGAAGCACACTGAAAAGAAGAGAGAACACTCCCACACTGTGGGACGAGCAAGCATCGCACTGGCTAGGGCACCGACACATGCTGCTGCTGTTGGCATTTGGAAAGCTAGACTTGCCTCCCTCGCCTCCATACAGCGTCCTTCAGAATGTATCTACAGGATCTCACCCAGGGAAGACAAAGCTGGTGGTTAAGGGGGAACTGGGGGAGACCCAGACAACAGCATCTCAGCTGGCCATCCAACTGCAAGCTGGAAGCAGGGTCAAAACAGACCTATCAAACCCACACATATGTTTTATCTGGACAGTTCAGGGTTGTTCCTGGGGTGCATGGAGTTGAATATGTTTTGTAGAAAGGCATAGTGTTGCGACAGGATCTCATGCAGTTCAGGCTGCCCAAAACTTTCTGTGTAACTGAAGATGACCCAGAACTCCTGATCCTTCTGCCTCTACTTCTTGAGTGCCCGGATTATAGGGCGTGCACAACCATGCCTAGTTTCCCAAGTGCTGTGGATTATACCTTCAGCTTTGTGCTCCTAGGCAAGCACTCTACCAACTGAGCCACATCCCCAGCCAATAAGAATAAATTTCAAAGACAAATCTAAACCACAGGCTCTTCCTGCAAGGATGGAAAGGATCCGGACACCAGCTACATGGAGCTAAATGGCAATGCTACCTTGAGAAGGAGGGTATGTGCTGGAGAACTAGTTCCCTCCTGCATGAACGCCACTGTGTCACCTGGACCATCAAAGCATCTGCCAGAAGGCCTGTCAAGCACAAAGAAAGAGAAACCCCCAAGGGATGACATCCCAGTATCCCTTATCAACACTCCTCTGGAGTGTAGCCCTGGTCCCTAGGATATCCAATTGTCATTCCACAAAGAGCATCTGAGCTGGCTTCAGAGACCATGCCCTCCCACCACAGCAGGTTGCAGTCTCTGAAAGGAATGTTCCAGGCCACTTACCATACATTTTGCCTTCGTCTGATAAGATGATTTTCCTTCTCCCACACGGCGGATAGATAGCCAGGGCCTCCTGAAAGCTCTGCTCGATGTCAGGACTCCAGACCCCCTCTGCATCATTGTCAATCGGCTTATCTGCCGAGTCACTCATCCTTTCCATGTTTTCGGCAGGGCTCTCGCTGCCGCTCCAGCTGCTGGGCTCAATTTTGGCGGTTGGATTTTCCAAGCCGAAGCCTGGAGCCTTTTCAAGAAAACAAACCTGAAAGAGAAATCATAAAATAGTATAAGTCAGGGTCACCATCAACATAATGCTCCTATGAGCTGTACTGTAGGTTCTCGGTAGCCAGTGTTGCATGGACATTAACTCCAGGTGAAGACTACAGAATTCTGGGATCCCAGATGATTTTATTCCCTGTGTCTCGTGTTAAGCACCCTACAAAAAACATTAATGGCTGACTGAAGCCAGGTAATCTTTCTAAATGAGAGGAAAGTCTCACCAGTGAAGGCAATCACTCAAAGCTACTTCCACAAGGTTCACATGAGAACCTTTTACAAAGTGTCCACACCCTACAAGTGGTATCATACTCAAGAGTAGTCAAATGCCCAGAGTAGAACAAGTTTATTGGAAAATAAAGTAAAATAGAAGATGCCAGCTTCACTATAGAAATTGACACCAGTGAAAGTCGGGTGTTGGTGGCACACTCCTTTAGTCCCAGTACTCGGGAGGCAGAGGCAGGTGAATCTCTGTGAGTTTGAGGCCAGCCTGATCTAAAGAGCAGTTCCAGGACAGCCCCCAAAACAATACAGAGAACCCTGTCTCGAAAAACAGATAGAAAGAAAAAAGAAAGAAAGAGATTGCCATCAGTGAAATGTCAAGCCATCTCAACACAAGATCACGCAAGAGTGGGCGACAGGAGAAACGAGGTTACTTTAGTGCCAGTTACTCATCCTACTGAGTCAGCGATGCCAGTTGACCTAGACCTAGCACATTGATCTCCGGGGCTCCTACCCTGTGGAGTCAGGTCACTTGGTCCTAAACTCTAACCCTGAATGAAGCAGAGACCAGTCCAGTTCCCTCCCACACCTGCCACCCTTGTGGGATTGTTCCCATCCCCATGGGGCAGCAGCTGGTCCTGCAGCATACTCTCCTGGTCACATGGAAACTGTGGGGCAATCTCTCCTTCATTTTTCTGGGCAGTGAAGATAACAGAACCACAAGAAATCTTTCTCCAAAATGTAAACGCAGTTCCTTTCAATTATACATGCCCCCTATAGTCACAAGGGGATAAGCTTTCTAAACAAATGTCACACTGGCTTGACACCAAGGTGAAAATGATCTAATCCAGTACTCCCTGCTGGCTGCACACTAACATATCAATATTGCTTTGTGAAAACCACATCAGATCATTAATGCAAAGGGCTCCCCAAAAGAAGGAGGGAGAAGAACTGCTCCTGGGGAATGATGGGAAAGGGATCACAGTGGGCCTGAGCAGGGAGGGCCTCTTGTGATCACTGCTGCTCCCCTTTCATCCCTGCAATACTTCAACACAAGAAGCAAGAGAAAAGCATGCCCATGTTCTAGAGTGCTATCAGCTGAGTACAAACAACTGAGTTTCTTTTCCCTTGCCTCTCCCAACTGTGTCCTCTCACCAACCTGTGGGTCTCAACAGAACCCAGGTACAGAAACTCTGAATGGTACGCAGTCCGTGATCTAACTGACAGGTGGCTTTGGACTCTTTGACTTTCTTCAATTTTGCAGCATTTGTATTTAAAAAAATAAAAAATTGTAAGCTTGGTCTTAACTGTTATCACTAAGCCATCATTCAGGGAACATGTCAGCAAGATATTGATAGCCCCTTACCAACACACATACACTAAAACAGGACTTCAAAACTTGCCAACATCAAGGTATAAATTATGAAACAAGAAAGGATTTTGTGACTAGCCCCAAGATGAACTCTGGGTGCCTGCCTGCCTCATGGACCTTTTGAATTTTCAAGTGATTACATTTTGGGTTGGGATCTGAGGGTACCATAAAATTTGAGCTAAGCTGTAACCACCCTAGTGATTGCTTACTAGAGAGATTACGAGAATAGGAGGGAACGCTTTGATAGTGGCTAGCCTCTCTCTCAACAAACAAAGCAATGCACACACATATAAAACCATAGGCCAAGTCAGGACAGATCACAGCAGAATGAATTCACTCAAGGAAGCTTCACTTACAGATACATATTAGATTTGTGAGTACTCAACTACTATAGCCAAGGAATGGAATTCAGCAGAGTTTAGGACTGAGGACCCTGGGCCTTTGTAGGCCTAGGAAGAAGGTTCTTAAGCAACTAAAAGTATAATCTCCATAAGAAAACATACCAAGAACCCCCACCCAAAGTCTTAAGAGCATCCATCTCATCAGCTGGTCACACAGGCTATGCCAGAAGTCCCCAGTGGGCGGACACTCATTGGCTCCTCAGCACCTCCCACCTTCTCACTGGTATGCTGAAATTGCTCCACCAATTAGGTCAACACCCATTTCCTACTTGACTTTACCCTATTATCCCTGAGGGGTCTATCCATCCTTCAGGTCAGCCTCTCCTCCAAGATACATTTCCTACAACCTGACCAACCCTTGGGGTTCCTATGGACTTTCATAACTCCACTCACCCCTCATCAATGCATCTGCAAACACAAGGGAGGGGACGGCCCCACTCTGGTGCTTGGAAGAAGACTCCAGTAGGGAAAGCCTGTCTGCTAGCCAAACTATCCACCAAGGATGGCCTCACTCAGAGGACCAGTAGCAAAGGCTTGCAGACAACCTTGGAGTTGCTTCTAAGGCTACGAGTCACACACATTAATTGATCCATCTACCCAGGAAGCACAAACATAGCTCTAAACACTCCCACATTTTGATTCATTTGCAGCAAAAGGAAGAACTTCGTGATTAGGCTCTTGTAATTTAGTCTACTAGAGCTCAGCAGGATGGAGCTACCTCCTCTGGACCTGAAGCAGTACACAGCCCCAGAAAACAACAGATACAAAATCTACAGAGATACTCAGGTTCTTGGATTTACAACCCAACTGTAAGATGAGCCCCTGTATGGGCAGAGAGTTTCCGATCACAAGGCTCATGGGGCTGGCTGAGAAGGCTCCCCACACTAGATTCCAAAATAACCATCCTGGCATTCCACTCCTCAGCTCCAAAGCCACCTCATCCTGGAAACTGTCCTTGTCGCTCTAGTGACTGTGAGATTAGTCACACTTTATGAGCATCCTATATATGTAGAGCTGGTTACTGCTCAATCTACCTTGATTTGAATGCACACCAAAAGGCACCTGCTTATTACCAACATTAAAAGCTAATCAAGTCAGGTACATTGGTACACGCCTGTCATCTCAGACCTCTGGAGGTGGGAATGGGAGGATCCTGAAATGAATGCCAACCAGGGCTACATGGTGAGATCACCATCACTACCACCACTATCACTACAAGTACAGGATATAATGGATTGTTCACAGACCATCTGCAGAGCTGATACCTTCCCCTTCCCACACATCTTTTGAATGTGGAAGTCCAGTTTCCCTCAATTCAAAATGAAGAAGTGTACATGGGGAAGGGGGTTGGTTTACATTCAAACTGAGATCTGGATTCAAAGTCACTCCAAGTCACATGGCTCAAACACAACTGGATAGTCTTTTTAAAGCTCAAGTTTTCACTTACACAATGGAGATATTAGATTCTATCCTAATGCAGACAACCGATGGGGTAAAGGCAGCTGAAACCTGATCCCATGAGATTAAGTGAGATAAAAGGAAGAGTTCTGTTCTCTGAAAAACCATGTGCCCTCACTTACTGATTTTCCAGTCTATCCTCTCTAGACAGCAGCATGCCCCATGATGCCAAAATACCTACAAGAAAAAAAGGACAGTGGAGGAATAAAGGGAAATCAATTTATAGTTGTCATATTCTTTTGGGCAAGGTGGTTCAAGTGTCTCCAAGGAAAGATTGTTGAAACCAACAAAAGCATGCGTATGTGCTATGTAGTTGAAAGGAGCCCAGTTTTCATCAGGAACACCATTCTTGTAGGCCCCTTGTCTGCTGAAATTTCCTAGCCCAGCAATACTCAAAACACAGCTGTTAAGAATAAGCCAAGCCGCCCTCCCACCATGGACATTCCTTTCTCAGAACCCACCGACACTTCAAGAAGAATCACAAGAGCATGTGGGATGTGTCACAAGTGCACTTGACCCACACAGCCTATTCTAAGAGCCTGGGGACACAGGGAGGGTAGAGCAAATGCAGGCGCTTCTGACACCAACAGTATATAGGGTGACATGTGACAAGAGAAGGTTCTGTTCCCTTCACAGATTTCCATGAGGTCCTCACCATGTAAACATCTTACCCCATCATTAAGAGTAGCCCTTGTGGTTAATGAAACACCACTGAGCATGAGGGTCAAGAAAAATCCATGAACCTTGTTTTAGCCAGTGTTTTAATTGTCTATGAAAACAAAGGAAAGGAACTAAACTATGAGTTGGACTTAAATATCTGCCTAAGTACCCAGGACCACATCCCATGTACCTCAGTGTCCACTGTTAGCCATGAAGGAGGCCAATTCATCCATCCACTTACTATCTTGTATTCCTGTGTTACTGTGCCCTTTAATTGCACCCCAGTGCACTCTAGGGAAGGGACCATTATGCTCACCATAACATCTTTGCCCCAGTGATGACAACAGTGCCTGATATAGAAACAGCTAAGAAAGGAACAAATACTACTCAGATGACCTGAGCATGTTCTGATAACATGACAGCTCATCCCCCAAACACATGCGAAGTTTCCACAGAATAGTAAGTACTAAAAGAAACCACTCCAGCACAGGGGTGGAGCTCAGGAATGGAGTGCTTGAATGGCATATTTGAGGTCCTGGGGTCACCCATGATGCCACAAGAAAATGGTGGTTGGGAAATCACCATATTAGAAACATGTCAAAGGACACACAAGCCAGACATTTTGTGTATGGTCCCAATTCTTATCCACCAGCCATTATTACTGACAACCAGTAGTTATGGGCAGAAGACAAAAAGGTCTGAATCCTAAGAGGTGGGTTGCTCTCATCATAAACATTTCTTAAAGGAACTGATGACACTTTCCTCCCCCCCTTTGGATTGCTGGAGAAGAGAGAAAACTAGAAGATGAAGCTGTAAGAAAAGCAGGAGAGGGGTAAAGTGATGTAAAGACCAGAGGGAGAGGAACTGGTGAGG